CAACACCAAATACAGGAGTCTAGTAGGTGCACTTCAATATCTCACCCTTACAAGACCTGATATCTCATTTGCTGTTAACAAAGTCTGTCAGTTCCTTCATGCATCCACTACTGTTCCTCTGACTGATGCTAAGCGAATAGTTAGCTATGTCAAGAACACTCCTAGCATTGGTCTCAATTTCAGCAAGTCATCATCCACACTTCTTAGTGCTTTCTCGGACTCTGACTGGGCAGGTTGTTTGGATGACAGACGCTCCACTGGGGGATTGCAGTGTTCTTTGGCCCTAACTTGATTTCATGGTGTGCAAGGAAATAGGCTACTGTCTCCAGGTCTAGTACTGAGGCAGAGTACAAAGCATTAGCAAATGCTATAGTTGAGATCACCTGGGTGCAGTCTTTATTAAAAGAGCTTGGTGTAAAAAGTATACAAGCTCCATGCTTATGGTGTGACAATCTGGGTGCAACTTATTTGTCTGCAAATCTTGTTTTTCATGCCAAAATGAAACACATTGAAAATGATTTTCACTTTGTCAAAGAACGAGTGGCTCGAAAACAACTTGATATTTTCTTTGCGAATTCCAAGGATCAGATTGCAGATTGATTCACCAAGGCTCTACCAACTAGAAGTTTTGAAGACTTCAGACATAATCTCAACTTGATGAATTTGTGATTAAGGGAGGGTGCTAAACACAATGCATATCGTGTCATATCATGTCACGTATGGAAGAGTCCAAGGGCGCAGGATCTAGGATAGATAGTTGGTTCGGTTCACATGTAATTCTATCTCCTTATCTCCTGTAACTACTTCTATCTCTTGTTCTCCAAGTTGTACACCTCCTGTAAAATCTCCAATGATGTATGCACTTCAGGGAGGTGCTCCCCTGCCTATAAACATGAAGCACGTCGCCTCAGGTCGAGGTAAGATGTTTCCGCATATCGCATAGAGACCATTTAGATCGCGCTTACAAGGCTAGATTTTTGCTAGCCTTGCAACTCTCTACAATTGTATATTACCTGCCTCCAACAAATTTCTGATGGAGAGATAGATACGAGGGCTGGGGAAACCGGTCATGGGTGAGGCATTTTATTTACAGGTTGGATACAAGGATAATCTAGGATACCCGTGGAACGGTTACTGCTCGAAAACGATCATCGAAGCAACGCAATTGAAGTCTGTCGGTTTTTTTTTGTATGGGGTATATTTTATGGTTGTATTCAGCTGAAAAACGACATTCCAATCGGACCCGTAGGCGAGAAAAGCAAAAGATAAGATAGCCATCCGGTAAAACTGAAGTTAAGAACTCTGCATTAGGCAGAAGTTGCAGGTCCTGGCTCCACCACATCACACAACTTCATCAAGTTCATAGTGTTTGCCTTCAATGGCTCTGCTCCGATCTTCAAAGCCTGCATGTCCCCTGCTTTTTGTATACATGCATAGGAAAATAAGGACTTGCAGGTTGCAAAGATATCATCAAAGAGGGTTTTGATCTGATCATCATCTTCTCGCATCATCTTCTCGGAAGTAGCTCTATTGTAGGTGCTCCAAATGGGGAAATGCCCTTTGGTACCTGATATGGAAAAAAAAGTCAAAAAAGTTTAGAAGACCTTTAGAATAAACTTGACTTTCTTTTGCATCAGTATATAAATTTTTGGGAATAAAAACTACTGTTGACTTTGGGGTAAAAAAAGTTTATTGATATATACAAGAAATTGTTCACACTATTTAAGCCCCTTTTTTGCCCGAAAGTCAACGGTTTTTTTCTCTCCGTGCAATTTTTTACGAGTACAGTGGAAGGTCAAATTTATTTAAAGAATATTTTTAGAATATATTGAATTTTTATATAATTACCTTTTTAAATATAGGGTGTATATACACCCATGAACCAAACATTCATGTCCTTGGCCCAAGTGATAGCCGTTAGATCAACAGTATAGAAACGTCCTCCCTTCAGTCGGAAAGAATAAGTTAATCAAAGAATTGCCAGGTGTTATTTGGACATACATCAGTGCCAAAACCGATCCCCTCTACGTCAAACCGCTCCTGCTATAGGGCAGCAAAAGAAAATATGTTGAGATGATTCAAGTATATCACAGGAAAAAGTATGTGGGGTTTCCGAACCAATTTCTTATTTTTGGTAACATCTCTAGTTAGCACAACATCTTGAAAAAGTTTCCATGAAAAATATAGTTTTTAAAGTGAATTTTAGTCCTCTGTTTCCGTCTGTACATGGATTTGACCAAGAAGGATTTGTAAATATTTTTCAATACCCAATATACTTCATCTTACTCACTGGAAAATAGGTATATCAGACAGAAAAGATTATAGGTTGTCCAATTGACTGAACAAATCAGGTGTTAGTCTCCTCCTAAACAAGGTGGAAATGTCTTTATTTTTGTAATCTTGGATAGTACGGTCCTGAAAGTTGCAAATGTCATAGAGTTGAGTCACACAAAGGATTTTCCCCTAGGATTGCATCTTTCCAGAGTTAGGCGAGGTTGCCAGAGTCGTATAGGAAATGCCACTTTCAAAATTGCTTTCCATCAAGAAGAATCATTCATTTTAGTTCCAAACTTCCAATAGATGCAACAGTTTGCTTCCGCATGTTATTTAAATAATAGTTTGCAATAATACATTCCCGATGTTCTAACTTCCACCACCATTTAACCAAAAGGCCAATGTTTTGCTTTGTAAGACCCCCAGTCCTCCTTTATTTTAGATTGACAAATTATAGTCCGTTTCACCATATAGTATCTCTTCTCAACATGGTATCCCTGACAAAATATCTTCTTCTAGGCTTGTCTAGTTTTCAATAAGGTCTTGTTAAACAAGAACGTGGACATGTGGTAAGAGGAGTTGCTAGAAAGGACATCATTTAGTAGGATATTTCTACCATCCATGGACACAAGATTCCCTTTTGTAGGCATCAAAGTGTTTTAAATATTTCCCTTCTAAGAAGTCCGAGTCAGAGTTTTTCAAAAAAGAGTAACCGATAGGGATACCAAGATATTTCATAGGAAAATTTTAAGGTATTGATATATCTCATAAACTATCTTATTAGATTTTGAAAAAAGGTGTGATTTTACTTTAGTGCAAAGTTTAATTTGCATATACTCCCTCCGTTTCAAAATATAGCGCGCCCACGCTTTTCGAGGTTCAACTTTGACCATAAATTTAACCCACGAGACCGACTGCGGCGGGATCAAAAATTATATAATTAAAAACTTTTTTTGAATACGAATTCATTGGTATAATTTTTTCGCCCGCCGCAGTCGGTCTTGTTGATTAAATTAATGGTCAAAGTTGAAGCACGGAAACCGAGGACGCGCTATATTTTGGAACGGAGGGAGTATAATTTTTCACCAAGTTGCACTTTTCTAACAAAATGCAAGTCACAAAACTCGAGTTGTACTTTCTCGAAAATTATAGTTAACTATTTCAAGAATGCGACCTCAAAGTTGCATCAAATTTGTAGAAGACCACGTACAGTGCCATTACAGCCGCCCACACCAAGCATGCATAATGCACCCTGGCTGAATACACGCTACAGACTACTCGCCACCCTCCATCTCGTCCTGCAAGAGAACACATCACCCTTGATAAAGGGAGAATATCACATGGAAATCAAGTCTTAAGAAAACTTTGTGGAAACCATGTTTGACAGTTTCAAAAAAAAACTTAAGAAAAACCATGAGTTTAAGAGGATGATGCCTAGTTGCCATGTGAAATTCCAAGTGCAAACACATTACCACTTTACGAGCAATGAAAAGAACAAATTCGACAATAAATGGTGATGTTTACTGCTCGGCACTATTCATTGTTGATTTTATTTTTTTTCATACCTTGTAAATGGTAATACTTTTTTTCCTGGGGTAAATGGTAATGCTTCTGAACTTGGGAATTTCACATGCTAATATAACATCACACTCTTAACATCCGGTATTTCTTTTTGGAAACTTCGAAACATCATTTCCACGTAATTTTCGTCGATTTTCACCTAAACTTGGTTTTCATGTGATATTCTCTCCTTGATCAAACCGGCATTGCGCCAAGCTTGTACTCCCTTCGTATATGGAGTAGCACCTCCTGCAACGATACTGCTATCCCATCAACGACCATGGCGTTCCTATACCCACACAAGTGCCACAAGCACCATCAGACCAAGATCAAGCAGGTCCAAACATTCCTAGCCGTGCTCGCAGCTGCAGGCACCCGGTGTGCACTCCACCACCCCATGAGGTCGGATTCCGCATCTGGCATCCCCACCCAATCTTTCCTCGCACTGCTAGGAGGGACGCCCAAACATGCCTTGCAGCAACGCAACCGGGTAGCAGATGTTGGATGATCTCATGGTGCTGAACTGCTGATCACCACGGCACATGGCCGTATGAGGAAGACCCCGCCGCTGCAGCCGGTCCAGAAGAAGGAAGACCGTTCAAAAAGTTAAAAAAAAAATGAGAGAGTGAAATCGGAAAACAGTTTTCAGGTATATGAGCGAAAGCCCGTGTCCCAATCAACTTTCGCCGAACCGGCGTGGTCGCGCGCACTGCCGGCTGCGGCGAGCACACGGCGTTTGGGGGGTTGGTAGGGACGACAAGTACAAGTGGGTAAAGAAAAGATTAGGCCAATTTATCCACGTCATGTCCACCTGTAGCGTCGGCGTCGTACAGCAGCAGCAGTAGCCGGTGAGGCTGCGTTCGTTCAGTTTGTCACGAGCGACGTCGACTTACACCATTTCCACGTTCTTGAGATTACTTTTCCGCATTGTCCACATGAAGGTTACACACAAGTTTCTTGGATACTTCATTCACCAGGGCACCAAGCAAGGAGAAAACACTTCCGACGGTCATCAGCTTGAATTACTGCATTACATTTTTCTGGAGGAGAGGAATGATCCAGCTGTGCATTTGAATAGTAATTATCCGTTGGGATTAATTGCTTTCGTTCAGAGTGTCTCTGACGATCCAGTGCGCGCCAGGAAACTCCAGGCGTGCAGCTAAAGCTCAAGCTAATCGGAGCCTGACCGCCGGCACGGCGGGCTCGACCACCCGGAACACGTGGACGCGGAACTCTGCGGCGCCGACGAGCTCGAAGACGCAGCAGTCCCCTTCCTCGAGGCAGTTGCCGCGCGCGAACGCGCACCACCCGCGCGACAGCCGGTCCCTCGTGCTGGGGATGTAGAGCGCCGCCCACGCCTTGCCGCCCGGGTCCCGGAGCACCATCTCCGTCTTCTCCCGGGGCAGGTGCTGCCTCGAGAACCCCGTGGGGAACCTCTGCATGCACATCACATACGGTCAGGCATTTGGCAAGTTGACGGGGCGGGCTAGCTAGCTGCTCGGCCGGCGCTCACCATCATGAAGGAGTAGTAGACGTGCATGGTGCTCATGCGGATGACGCAGTACGGGAGCGACGACCGGAACGCGCGCGCGAGCTCCATGGCCCGCTGCCGCTCGGCGCTCGCCACGGGCCGCCGCCGGGACACGTACCCGTTGTACTTCCTCACGGAAGGGGGGATGCTGGCCGCAGCGAGGTCGCCGTGGATGCTCCGCGTTTTCACCGCGCACCCGTCCTTGGTCCCGGCTGGCAAGTGGCCCGGCGGGAGCTGCCCCGACTCCGACGGTGGTGCGGCGATCAAGCACAGGGGGAGCTCGCCGGCGCCCACCTCGGCCTTCATAGGGCTGGGATGCCCGGCTGATCCTGCAAGACCGTTACATGCATTGTGTTGAACGGAGCACATCGCCATTGCGCCTGAAAAACCAAATCTGAATGCTAGAAGGAAGAGAAACAGAGGGAAGACGTACCATTTGACTTGTCCGATTCGGGAATCCGATCGGAGCACACGACTTGGGGCAGCTGGTCGGCAGGCGCACGGTTCGGGACCAGCACCAGCTCCATGCCAGCCGAATCATCCACGGCCCGCGACGCCGTCCTCGGCCGGCCCCGCTTCCTGCGCGGCCGGGGCGCGTCGCCGGCGAGCAGCAGGTCCTCCCGCTCGCACGCCGACTTGTCGAACACCATGGCGGCGAAGCTGGTGCCGCCGTCGTGGCGGAAGACGAGGAACTCCAGCTCCCGCAGCGCCTGGTCCTGCACGAACTTGGCCCAGCCCGCGGTGAAGAAGGTGCCCTCGGCGGTCCGGCGGATGACGACCTGCCACGTCCGGCCGCTGGGGCCCTCCAGGGTGGCCGCCATGGACGCCTCCTTCAGGCCCTTGGCTTTCCTGGACGCCTCCCAGGGGATGTGCTTGCAGAACTTTGGCGGGATCTTCTGCATTTGCGTGCATGCAATGCATGGACGAGTGTCATTTTGAGAGGACACGACATATGTGCAAACTTTCTTACACTTCGGATCCGTTGGTGCATGCATGCACCACCCTGAGAGCGTGGTGCATGCAAGTATTTTTGTTCTCGGTGTTTTAATCAGTTTGGCAAACACTCCCAAGTTAGAGCTAGAACACAGGCAATGCAATATGTAAGACACCACGGGAAGGAGTCATTTACATGTACCCGTGAAGTGAATGGTGCACTCACCAGGCGCTTCCTGAAGTCGCCGATGAGCACCTTGAAGAAGTGCGGCCGCCTCTCCGCCGACGCCAACGGCGACTGCCCCTCCGCGGCCGGCATCGATCGGAAGTGCTTCCTAAACGTAAGCACTCACACCGCGATCAGCACCCGCGTGCTGTGCCTGTGCGCGCACACACCAGACCAGGGAGGCGATAAGGTTAAACCTGCCGAGGGCACTGGAAAAAGGAGCGAGGGGTTAATTTTTACCGGCCGGGGAAAGAGACGAGAGAGCTCGGCTTTTGATGGGGTGGTTTTTGGCTGTGGCCGGCGATCAGCCTCCGTGTGGAGCGCGCGGTGTCTGATTTGATTTCACGCGCGCAGTGCCAGCTGATTCATGATTAAACCAGGCCAAAAAGCCCCCCGGAAACCAGGGTGCAGTGCAACACACCGTCCGGCTCGGCCACTCTCAAGCCAAAAATGCTCACTTCACTGGTTCACCCGAATAAAATGACTAGTACCACTGACCATCTGGCCACACAATGGGTGCAAGGCCCCCCGGGCCCATGCTCCAGCGAGTGCACTTCGCTTTTCTTGACACCAACCGTGCACTTCGCTCATGGAAACCTTGCTGTATGCAACGCGAGTGGACGCGCTCGTACATGTCAAATGTATGCCTCTGTTTTTCTCAGGAAAATATCGAAA